CATCCCACTCACCCACCACATGAGGACCCTGAGACAAGAGGTGACGGCACCTGGGAGCTGCAAATAGGCCCACATGCAGGAATATGGGGAGCTGGTAATAACAGAGGGTGCGGAGATGGGCACAGACAGATCTCAAGGGTTGTCTCCCGAGGCAGCAGCAGCAGGGTTTTAATAAGGTAGTGCCAAGGCCCGATGTTCAGGTTGAGAATGGCTCCTCTGGCAGCCCGGTGGGGAACAAATCACAGCAGAGCAAGACTGGAGGTCAGAAGGCTGACGAGGAGGCTCTCAGCTTGCTGCCAGAGAGGACAGACTGGGCAGCGGGATCAGAGAAGGAAATTTCGTCTGACCCCAGAGCTCCTGTGAATGTCAAAGAGGCCAATATGGGTTGATGGGTCCCCCAAAGAGAGTGATAAAGGGGGTAGCAGCCAAGATGACTCCCAGGATTCTGTTTTGGAGAAGTGGGTGGGTTGTCCTCAGATGGAGAACGTAGGGGAAGAAGGCTTGGGGTAAGATGGTCACAGCACAGTTAACTGGAACTGGATCAGCCCCTCTGTCATAACCAAGCATAAAACTACACAGAGTACACGAGGCCACCATCTTCAACACAGTATCAAAGGCAGGGCAAGGCTGCGATCCCCAAGAGAAGAGAAAAACATGCAGTGAGCCCCGAGATCTCCTTGGATCTGCACGTGGGGTGTGCTCCCTGGACCACAGTGCAGCCTGTGAGTGTCCACGCAGAACTCAGAGGGCCCACTGAACTGAGGGTGCAGAGATGGGACTTTAGCATCGCTGAAGCAGCTAGAATCTTCAGGGCTGGAAGCTGCACGGGGAAAAGGGAGAAAGTCCATGTGAGGGTCCCTGGGTTCTGGTGAGACCACCTGAGGCTTAACAAGTGGTCTCAATCCCTAAGTTTTGAGAGTGGAACAGATATACTAGATGTCAAGCAATGCTAGGGAACTTTGGGGGTTTTGCCCAACCAAAGTGGAACAACCTCATTAACACTAGGGCATCCAGATGTAACACAACAAAGGCTTCGTCTTAGTAATAAGGACCACACCTTTGAGTAAGGCCAACTGTAGACCTTCCATAACAAACTTAAAAACAACTTCAGTAAAGTTTGCAATTTGGAGTTTGATTCTCACCATGTTATGAAAGTTTGGGAGACACCTTCCACTTTCATCGACCATGGCAAATAGTAAACCAAGACCACACATATTCATGTGATCAACTGATAATTAAACTGACTGCTAGAACAAGAATCAACCCTTTTCAGAGGGAGATACTCAAATCCAGCGTTTCCACAACACATCATTCACAATGTCCAGTATACAATCAACAATTACCAAACATACAAAGAAGCAGAACTGTGTGACTCATAGCCATGAACAGAAAACAAGGATCTATAGAAATCAATCTCTATTGATTGATAGCCTATCCCTTCTCCAGGGGATCTGCCCAACCCAGGAATTGAACCGGGGTTTCCTGCATTGCAGGTGGATTCTTTACCAGCTGAGCTACCAGGGAAGCCCCCTAGAGAGCTTAAGTAACTGCAGATAACACCCATCCTTTCAACACTACATCTCAGGGAACCCTGCCCCCTCAAGCAGATCTTCAGCCAACTTTGCACCTTTTGAAGCCCAACCACTAACTGCAAGTTCCTTACGAAGCAGAGAGAGGCCTTGGGGATCCTTCTCTGCCGACGAGAGCTGCTTTGGGAAAACTGCTATGCGTGGGGTTCCCCGCTGGGTGCCAAGCAGACCAGTTCTCCTGCTTCCTCCCACTCTTGCTGAAAGTGCTCTGTGATCTTGCTTGATCTTGGAAACCAGCAGTCTCCCCATAGACATCCCATCCCCGTAGGCTCCGGAACACAAGGGGTGGGGGACAGTTGTCAGGACCTGCTCTTGGCAACTCAGGTCCTAGGGTTTGTTGAAGCAAACCAAAAATTAGGAACAGGGCTGCTGAGATGGGGGTGAAGAACTACACCCCACGCTGGTCATGATTCAAAGTAGAATTTACCTGAGCGCTCACCTTGGGCCGGCACTGTGCTAAGCACCTTACATTAACTTTGTCATAACATCCCTCTTTTCCAGGTGAGGACGTAGAGGCTTAAAGAAGTTTAGTGACTAGCACATAGACAATAGTGTGGCTAGGATATGAACCCAGGTCTCTCTGACTCCAGAGCCTGTATGTTTAAAGTGAGGTGTCTGCCTACCTGTTCTTCAGCCCTGTTTCTTAGAGTCATCCTGGTCTCTGAAAATGAATCATCATCCTCCCAGGTCCTCAGGCCAAACACCTGGGAACCACCCTACTTCCCTTCTCCCTCCCGACGATTCACAAACCAAGTCTGTTGTCTGTACCTACAAAGTACATCTTGAACCTGCCCCACCTTCCCAGCTCCATCTCCACTGCTCTCATCTACTGTCTCCACAGTGGCCTCATCTGCTGTGATCTGCTTACCACCACCCTTGTTTCTCTTCCCATATCACTCTCTATACCCCTTCCTGGGAGCCAGAGACATCCTTTGAAAGACTCACTCAGACCAGTCATTCTCCTCTTAACGCCCTCCCTTGGTTTCACACGCTGCTCAGAACAAAATCCACAGTTCTTACCTACAAGACTCTGCATGACCTGACCCTCCTAGCTTCACACCCTCATTTCAGGTCATAAGCCCCATTATTCTTAGTCTGCTCCAATTATACCGGCTTTTAAAACATTCTTGACAAACCTAACTTTGTTTCTGCTTCAGGACCTTTGCAGGTCTGTTGCTGTGTCTTCTTCAGATCTTCCGAGAGCTGACTCCTTGTCGGGTCTCAATTTAATGCTACTTCCTCAAGTATCGAACATTTTCCTGACAGCTAAAGTATACCTTCTCAGCCACAGAACTTCCCTGAGTCAACACAGGCATCTATTTGTCTTCTGTCTGTTTCCCTTGAGCTCACCACCATTTCCCTCACACACACTAGGGATGCTATCAGGAGAGGAGCAATCTGATCATTTGCTAGGTCCTTGGAGGCCAATAGAGGAGATAGCTGAGTATAAATTTTTATGGATGTTGACTGGCTGGCTGGGTGGGTAGGTGGATGGATGAGAGATGGGTAAGGGGGTGAATAGATGGGCGGATGTATGGATGGATGTGTGGATGAGTGGGTAGATGGGTGGATAGATGGATGGATGGATAGGTGAATTGATGGATAGATAGATGGGTGGATGGGAAAATAAATGGATGGACGGGTAGATGGATGGATGGATGGGTGGATGGATAGATGAGGGATGATGGATAGAGAGATGGGTGGATAGACGGATGGATAGATAGGTGAATGGATGGATACAGAGACGGGTGGATTGATGGATGGGTGGGTAAATAAATGGGTGGATGTGTGGATGGATGGATGAATGGGTAGGTGGGTGGATGGATGGATGGATGGATGGGTGGATGGATGGATGGATGAAGGTTGATGGATAGAGAGATGGGTGGATAGGGGGAGATAGATAGGTGAATGGATGGATACAGAGATGGGTGGATTGATGGATGGGTGGGTAAATAAATGGGTGGATGCGTGGATGGCTGGATGGGTGGGTGGATGGATGGTTGTTAATAGAAAGAGTCCCCACACCCTCCCTTTCCTCCACAGCGGTTAGTTTCGTGGCTGCCTCGGTGTCGTCCATTGAAGGATGGCTCTTTAGAGGGCAGGGGCAGGCCTGGGAGGCCTGGAGGGGAGGCCCAGGTGCCCCCACCATCCCCACACCTGTCCCCTTTCTCCTCATGGCCCCTCCTCAACGAGACCTCACACATGACACCCCTTTGAGGGGCTCAGCTCTCCAGGAAGCTCCCCCAGAATCGAATCACCTTGATCCCTTCCATGAATCACCCACTGCAGATGCTGCTGGCTTTAGCCTCCCTCTTCTCAGCGTCCCAAGTCCAGCCCCTCCGCTGGCCCCCACCCCCAGCCCAGAGCTGTCCCCCTCGCCGCAGCTGTCCACACTTACAAAGCCTGACTGTTCGATAAGGCTGTGCCAGCTGGAACAAGACACTTCCCGTCTGATGGGAGGTCCTGCATGGAGCCTGGGGGCAGCTGTCAGCTCGAGGGGCACAGGGCCGGATCTGGGGCCTCCTGGGGGCCGGCACCCTCTGGGGCCTCAGCAGAGAGTCCTCCGGGCCTGGCTTCAGGTCCCTGAATTGGCTCCACAGAGTGGAGGGCTGGAGTGGGAGTCAGGGGAGCTGGGGGAAGAGGCTGCAGTTGCTAGAACCTTCAGAGACCTCATGTCCAGGGCCTTAGGAAAGCTTCTCCTTTTGGAGACACAGGGGTCAGGAGCTGGCCTGGAGTCTGGGGGCTGGCAGGTTGTGCTGGCCCCCTCCCCGAGGTGACGCTGTCCTCCTTGGTCACCAACCACTAGTGACTGGGGCAGAGGCTGCAGGAAGAGGTGAAGGTCAGTATATCCACCAGGCATGGCCCTCAGGATGGCCCCCGTGGCCGAGATGGACACTGCTCTTGACCAGCACGCAGGCCATGGCAGTGAGTTATGGCAGAGTCTAGCCCAAGCAAGGAGCTGGGACATCGCTTCTGGACAAACCCTCAGTGCAGGGTCTCTGGGGCAGCTGACATGGTCACTCTTCAGCCCTTCAACCTGACTCCTGTTGGTTGAACACCTAATGCGTGCTGGGCGTGGGGACAACACAGGCCGGAAATCCCTGCCCTCATGGAGCCCGTGTTCCCAGGGTATGACCCCCCTCCACCTGGGGCCACCCTGCCCAGACCCCAGGCCCAGACCCCAGGCCCGTCAGAACCTGCGCCTTTTCTGGCTCTGATTCCTCCTCACAGTCTCTAATTATATCCTGGGAGAAACAATTAGGACGAAACTAAGGGGTTTTTTTTTGTCTCTCCTCCAGGCCGGACCTGTTTAATAACTTAATTAAATAAACAGAATTATAATTATAATGTTAATATTTCCTTTCTGTAATGTCGACACCTTCTGCTGGAAAAAGCCTTTCTTGGGAACAGGGGCTCCGCGCGCTCCCCAGCGCCGCCCCGGTTCGAGGCTGGCCGCCCACCGGCCCCCAGTCTGGGGCCACCCGGTTCTGGGACCCAGCGGAGCTGGCAGGGGCCCCAGCCAGGGGGAAAGCGGTGTCCTCTTCATCGTGAGTGTTTACAGTCGAGCTCAAACCACACGATGGAAATTCCTCTGAAGCTCCTAATTGCACATTTCCTTCCTCCAACCATTTTCTTTTGACAGTCGACTTTGAAAACATTCACCACTTAATTCTCCCCAGGCGGGAAGGGGGAGAAGGACTGAGCCTGCCGCACTGGGGCTCCCTCCCCCACCCCACTAAGGGGCCAGGCTCGGGGACCAGGGTGCTCAGGCATCGTTGGTGGGGACCCCGGGGGTCCCCCGCAATGAATCTTGCTTCCCTGCCTCCGTGCCGCACGGTCTCCAGCTGACCCAGGGAGACGAGTAAGCTCAGTGTCATTTCCTTGACTGAAAGACACGATTAAGAATACTCGTTTGCCAGGTGACGGTAGGAAATCATCGGGCACATTGTAGGTGCTGATAAGGGTGAGACTCCTCCAGCTTCTTAGAGGAAACGCAGTGCATCAAGATGGGATTCTCCCAGCTGTTCTCTCTACGTGCGTAGTATGCATGTGTGCATGCCAAGCAGCTTCAGGCGTGTCCGACTCTTTGCAACCCCATGGACCGTAGCCCGCCAGGCTCCTCTGTCCCCAGGATTCTCCAGGCAAGAATACTGGAGTGGGTTGTCATGACCTGCTCCACGCGTGTAGTGTAGACAGAGGTTAAGAGCAGGCTGCCTGGGTTCACACTCCAGCTTGGCCTTTTAATGGCAAAGCAATGAGGCCCTGGGAAGTGTCTTGTCTTCTTTGTGACTCGGTTTCCAGGTCTGTAAGAGGGGACCTGATGGTGTTGACATCACTAGTCATCCTGAGGATTATGCTACTTTACCATCATGAAGGGCCTGAAACAGGGCGAGACGCAGAGGAAAGCTTAGCTGATGTTGACAACGACCCCCATGGGTCAGTCTGGAGGTGGCCGATGGGCTTTGGCATCAGACCGACTGTGGTTCCAGTCCCCGCTGTTCAGGGACCTGATTTCCCGGATCATCCACATCCCTGCTGTGAAACGGATGTGATAACACTCAGGGCTGTTTGCAAGGCTTGAGGCAGACAGTTGGCATGAAGACCTGGGCAGAGAGAGACAGGACTCCTGCCCCTAGACTGGGAGTCCCAGTCTCAGGGATGATGAAGGGAGGGAGAGGCTGCATGGTCAGAGAGATCTTCTGTTGGGGCAGAGCCACTACTGAGGGAGCGCTGGGGGCCTCCCCATCTCACCGTGCCCAAGACCCAGCCCCTCTCCATCCACGGCCAGGCCCCGGAGCCGAGTGGCTGCAGCCCTCACTCACCGTGCGGACTTGAGTGAGTCATGGAACCTCTCTGAGCCTCCATCTCTACATCTGCAAACTAGGAGCTATAGCTGGGTTTCTGGGACGATTGGTGAGTGAAGGCTGTCAAGGGTTTCCCAGGGCCTGGCACACAGTAGGTGTTCAATAAATGTTAACATAACATTCATGTGTTGAAAGTCACTCAGTCGTGTCTGACTCTCTGCGATCCCATAGTCTGCAGCCCGCCAGGCTTCTCTGTCCATGGAATTCCCCAGGCAGCAATACTGGAGTGGGTTGCCATTCCCTCTTCCAGGGGATCTTCTCGACCCAGGGATTGAACCCGGGTCTTCCACATTGCAGGCAGATTCTTTACCATCTGAGCCACCAAGGAAGCCCCAGAGATTGATGTGTGTGTGAAAGTATTAGTCAGTCAGTCATGTCCAGTTATTTGCAACCCCATGGACTGCAGCCCACCAGCCTCCTTTCTCCGTGGAATTCTCAGGCAAGAATTCTGGAGTGGGTAGCCACTCTCTTCTCCAAGGGATCTTCCGTGACTGTTATTTATTCTCCCGAAGCTCATTGCCAGGCCTGGGTGGTCCCGGAGCTGATGGAGACCTAGCCATCTCCCCCAGGCGTCATCCTGGGCAGAGGTCAGGATACATTTTCTCTGCCTGGAGCTCCTCTCCCGTCCCCACAGCTGGACTCCCATGTCCGGAGGCCCTGCTCTGACATCGGGCTCCTCTTGCAGGCTTCCCCCAGGCTCAGGCTCCAGGGCTGGACCCCATTCTCCCCAGACCCTCCTCTCGGCACGTCTTCGCCCCCGGTGTGTTGAACACATACAGAGGTTCTGTTGGACTTGATTCCCGAGGGCAGGAGCTGCTGGCTTATCTCTGCCTGTCTCTCTGCTGCCCTTCCCCTCTGGGTGCTGTGGGAAACCCCAGGAGGCTGGGGTAGGACCTGGACCAAGATGCTTTCACTCGTGTGGGCGGGGCATCAGAGGTCACCATGGAGACAGAGAGAGGGACCTATTGTGAGGCAGGATGGCTGAGGCGGATACAGGGGGCATAGTAAAGATGCAGAGAATGAGATGGATTGAGATTCATGGAAGGAGCTGGAACACTGAAATGAAGTGGAGAATCTGAGAGCTGCATCTGAGAGATGATGGACAGGATGGGCTTTGAAAAGGCATCTCGGCTGTGTGTGAGGCTTGGCACCACCATTCCCTGAGATGGGAAGCACCGTGGAGATCCAGATTGGGGCTGGTGGGGTGGTCACCAGTTTGGTCTGGGTTGCGTTGAACTGAGGGAGCCTTTGAACAATTTAACTGGTGGTTGGGAGATACATCTGGGGGTGCCTTTGTACACTTGATGATGACAATGAGTGGGTGGTTGAAGACAGGTCTGGGGTGCCCTTGAGCACCCAAGTGTGACATTCTGATGGGTGGAAGAGGGGACCTGGGGCTTGGAGGAGAGTTTGCAGCTGTGAGATGACCAGCCATTACTGTTCATGTTTTTGCCCCAGGGTCACATAGAGCTATGAGCAGAGCTGGGCCCAGGACCTGGGTCTCCACTACCCCCAGGTCCAGTCTGGAAACTCCCCGGCCCCCCTTGTGGCTCTTCCAAGAGGATGCAGTGTGGACAAAGCCCAAAGAGGAATGTTCCGTTGTAAACACAAATCCTTTCAGCTGTTTTCCTCTTGAATCATTGGCAAGGACCCAAAATCTATACATTTTTTTCTGGTGAGAAAACATGGCAGACCTGCCCTGGTCGCTCACGCCGTGACATCAGAGGCAGCAGACAGGGACCCGCGGAGCGTTCCCTGCCCCAGCGGCCTCCTGCTACAGAGCGAGCGGGTGCCATCAGCTCTGTGCCCGCAAGGAACAGGTGCTGTGGGCGGGAGGGCCTGACGCAGCGTGGGCCTGGAGCGGATGCAAATAAATGCCCCATCTCCTCCAGATTCCTGGAGGAGTCTCATTGTCATCTTAAGTCTTCAAGGGACCCCCAGGACCCTCAGATCATTTTCCCTGGCCAAGACCTCTCCCTAGGTCTGAGCTGCTAATCCAGCTACCCAAGGCTCCCCTTTGCCGTTGAGAGATCTGTGAGCAGCAACACCTCGGCATGCCCCATGCCAAACCCACCCCTTCACGTCCTGTCCCCCGGGGTTCTCCTCCTGCAGGCGTCCAGTCACCCAGCCACCAACCTGGGGACAGGTCCACAGAGCCCCACCGAGCCGCCCTCCTGGGCGCTCAGGCTTCCCTGAAGCGTCTCCCCCAGCTTGCTGCCTCACCCGTCTCCCCTCCTGATGTGCCCTGCGGCTGTCTCAGGAGTCCTTCAAGCGGGACCCTGCTATTATCACCTCCTGCTCCCGCGGGGCTCCGGGTGGACTTCTGAGGCCCTCCGCCCATGCACCGCAGCCCCTCAGCGAGGGCCCCATCCTGAGGTCCCCACCACTGCCTCCTCCATAAGACCCAGCGGGGCAACCACCAACCTGCCCCATCTTCCGGTTCGTTGCCTTTGCACAGACTGTTCCCTCTCCCAGAATGCCCTTCCCACATCTGCAGGTAAGCCGGATCCCTCCTCCCCATCACCCTCTCTAGCTCAGCCCAGGGGCTTCTGCTCTGGGGTACACCCCCAGGAGTAGCTTGCATCCTGGGGGCTGCCTCGTGGCCTCCTCCCTTGCCAGGAAGGGCTCTGTGTGTGTGTGTGTGTGGGGGGGGGAGTCGCAAGGATCTTGATGAAAACCCAGGTCTTGCAGCCAGACAGAGTCAGGTTCAGATCCACACAAGAACAGGGACGTGGCCGGCAGGCCATCCGTTTCTGAGACAGGCAGCGTCTCCACGCAGGAAGTGCAGGCAACAGCGTGACCTGCCCCTTAGGAACCCGCCCTCATTGGTTCAGAGAATCCTTCTGGAGCATCTCGAACACGCCAAGCCTGGTTGTAGGTGAAGGGGAGAGAGCAGTGGGCAAAACACCAGAGGGTCCGCTGCCAGGCTGCAGGCAGGCAGAGGCAGCGACGACACGGTCCACGCAGAAGCCATCTGGGTGTCTGGCAGTGAGTGCCACAGCTTCGGGGGGGTGGGGAGTGTAAACAGAGGCCCCAGAGAGGCTCATCCAGCAGGCCTTCACGAGCGCAGACACTGCAGTGTCAGAAAATGTCCCAAGCCGGGGACACAGCAAGTGCAAAGTCCCTGGGGTAGGAAGGTCAAAGGAACATCAGGGGGGCCACTGTGGCTGGAGACGAGGAAGGGGCAAGGAGGAGACCAGAGAAGGGACCAGAAGGGGCGGGCAGGGATGTGTGGCTGCAGATCTGGAAGACTCTGCAGTTCCCTCTGAGATGGAGCAGTGGGAGATGAGCGCGGGACAGGCGTGAGAAGACTCAGCTTCTAACAAGATCACTGCCTACGGGGTCAGGGAAGCGCTCCGAGGAGGCCAGGGAAGCTGGAGACACAGGGAGTGGGTAGTGGTAGGACCCATCGGGGTCTGAATGCCGTTTGGACGGACGGGGAGAACCAGGGCATGGAAGGCACCTCAGAGTGTGTCTGGCATGAGTTGTACATTCAGGGGTCGAGAAGAGTTTGTTTGGGCCAGTTATTGTTTTGTCGCTAAATTACGTCCAACTCTTTGTGACCCCATGGACTGTAGCAGGCCAAGCTTCCCTGTTACTTCACTATCTCCCAGAGTTTGCTCAAACTCATGTCCATTGAATTGGTGATGCCATCTAACCATCTCATCCTCTGCCACCCCCTTCTCCTCCTGCCCTCAATCTTTCCCAGCATGTGAAGAGTCAGCTCTTCACATCAGGTAGCCAAAGGATTGGACCTTCAGCTTCAGCATCAATCCTTTCAGTGAATATTCAGGGTTGATTTCCTTCAGGATTGACTGGTTGGATCTCCTTAAAGTCCAAGGGACTCTCAAGAGTCTTCTCCAGCACCACAGTTTGAAAGTATCAATTCTCTGGCCAGTAAATAACAGAAATATGCAAGGGATGATGCCCATGACTAAGGCCAGGGCACAGGAGTCTGATGGAGGGGGAGGCTGCTTTTCTGACCTGGGAAGGTGAGGTTAGGGGTCACAAGGTCCTGATGGGAGAAACTGGAGTATGCTACCTACTCCTGCGTCCCCTTGTCCAGTCCCAACCCTAACCCTTTGGGTCTGCTGGGCAGGACCTGGCTCCACCAGGTTCTTGGAGTGAGGAACCACCAGGACCCTAGGTTGTCTGGTAGACACAGACCATGCCCCGGGGTCTGGCTGCAGGGGCGCTGGGGGTCCCCTGGTTCCCAAGACAGCACCTTCTAACCCAGCTAGCTGCTCCTGTGACCTCTGGCCCTGCGGCTAGCTTCCTGGTGGCCAAAGGAAGTGGCATCTGCAATAATGCAAATGCTCCTTGGATGGGAAGGAAGAACATTCTGGAGCTGAGCACACGGGGGGTGGGTGGAGAGCGGTTCTGCTGGTCAGCTGTTTCATTCTGGCATGTTCCTCTGTCCCAGAAGTCGCAGGGTGACCCCAGCCCTGAGTTCACCAGGTGTCAACAGTGGAGGGGACCAGGGCTCCTGGGGACCACCCAGTAACTGGGTCCGTGCCCCTGCGTGAGTCCCCTTCCCTGCCTGGGCCTCCGGGCAACCTGCTTGTGTCATTGCGTGCACCCCTGGAAGGAGAGGGTCCACGGGGACTAACATCTGTGAGATGTAATGGCCTCCACTGATCGGAAGAATTCCAGTCCTTTGTCACCTGGCCTCAAGCCCCCTCTCTCCACCTCTGTCTGCATCGCCAGCGCCAAGCTCACCGTACGTATATGTCAGTGTCCTTCCTGACCATGCATCTTCCCCACTCGGTGGGTGCGTTCCAGGACAGCCGGTGCCCCTGGAGGCCCTTCCTACCACCCATCAGCTTTCCCAGAAAGGGCTCTCCCGCTGGCTGGGGTCTTTTTTTGGCCTCAGCCCCACCCTCCATCCCCAGCTGCCCTTGAGAAGATGCCCATCGGGGCCCCTGTTCCTTAACCACATGGGCAGCAAGAAGGCCTTGGTGAATCTGGCTGCCATGGGCCCAGTGTTCTGCCAGCCAACCCCATTTCAAAGGCCCTCCTGGGGAAACTCCTTGTCCAGAGGCCTCCAGGCTCAGCACTGGGAACGGGGATGCCCAGGACCTCCGGCAGTGGGCCTTCTGCTTCCCATATGACTGTGAACTCATCCCCGAGTCTCCCTGCCTCAGTCTTCCCATCTGTGAGATGGAACCCCACCTCCCTCACAGCTCTGACCATGCAGATCTCTGCTCAGGATGGAGTAGTGAAGGTCACCTGCAGTGTCGGCCCTTGACTCTGGCTCCACCCCCTACAAGGGGTCACTTCAATAGCCAAGCACCTCCTATCCTTGGAGGTCTCATCCGGTGCCAGCCACTTTACAAATAATACATTTTGACATCAGCCTACATAGGTTAGCCCATTTAATTCTTTATTACTCCAGTCTTCTTGCTTGGGAAATCCCATGGACAGAGGAGGCTATCTGTACCACTCCATAGTACATGGGGTCCCAAAGAGTTCAACATGACTTAGCCACTCAACAACTGTGTATGTATGTCAATCCCAGTCTCCCAACCCATTTAATTCTTAAAGCAACGCTGCAAGGAAATTATTATCACCATCACCCCCGTTTTACAGATAAAGAAACAGAGGCTTCAAGAGGTTGCCCAAGGATGCACAGGTAGAAGGGGGCAGCCCGAGCCCAGAGGCCCTGTTCTGAACCACTGCACCACGAGGCCTCCCTTCCGATGACGCAGAGACTGTCCAGAGAGGCCGGAGGCCTGAAGAAGCTCACCCAGCGGGCGGCTGCTTGCACAGCAACCCAGGATTCTTGGACCAGGAATTCCAGGCCTCTGTTCCTGCTTCTCCACCCCTAATTCATATCTTCCGGGGGTAATCTGGGCAGGTTTTTTTTTTGCAGGGGAGAAACACAAAAGAAACGTCTCCTTGAAGGAGGTACCTCCTGAGATTCCTGAGCAAGATTAATAAAATCTTATCCAAGAACACAATGATTCACGCCAACCCACCGAGTCAATCAGGAATCGGCAGGACTGTAATTTCTATCAAACTATAATTAGCTGAATTTCCTTTTGTAATCTTGGGAATCTGAACAGTGTGCAGCCTATCATTGGAGCCGTGGATAATGACCAGCCACCTCGCGTACAAAACGGTTCAGAGTAAAAATGTCCTCCGGGTCCCTTTGATGTGTAAAGAGGACTCATGAGTGCAAAGACACGAAAAAAATTAGTGGAATTTCAAATGCAAAACAATTGTAGCCTTGTTGGGATACAGAGTTTAGCAGCGGGGAGGGCTGCTGGCAAGGTCGTTAAAACCAGGATGGTGTTCTGGCTGCCTTGCCCCTCTTTGGGCTAGACGGTGTTTCTCCAGGGCTGGCACAATGCTGGGGAGACTGAATGCACGCAAGAAATGTGTAGAGAATGAATGAATGAGTGAGTGGAGAGCAAGAGACAGGTGAGGCAAGCAGCTGGGCCATTTCTCTCTCCTTGGTCCACTGAAATTCAGTGAGCTGGGGAGGCCAGGCGTCCTGAGGCCCCCAGATCTCAGGACTGGCAGGCACCCGGCCAGCGAGGCTCAGAGTGATCCTGGGCCAGAGTGGGACTCAGGAAGTGTCCACCCCCTCCCTGAGGAGTCTCACTGTCTGGTCCTCTCTCCCTGCCAGGGTTAAGGGGCTAAGCCCTTGGTCCATCCAGTCAGGGCAGGCTGAGTGCCCCCCACACCCTTGGCAACTTCCCCAGGGAGGATTCCAGGGAGGTGCTCTTTGGGATGAAACCGAATGAAGGAGAGAATGTGCGGCAGGAAGTGACAGGGTGACTCAGGGTTGCTCAGCCTGGAGCCTGCCGGGGGCCTGCTGCCCCGCTGTCTGCGGGCACAGCAGCTCCCGCCCTCCCCACCCAGGGCAGGGGCCAGGTCTCCTTTCCCCGGGGCCCGGCTCTCCACCGGCTTTGTGCCCGGACGCCTGGAAGTCACCGCGAGAGAGAGCATGGCAGGTGCCTGGAGCCGAGTCCGAGTCCAGGAAAGACGCGAGGCAGAACCTGTGAGCGGGAGGGGAGGGGGCTGAGCTGCGGCCCCTCCTCCGGGGACCCGGCCACCGCCTCCCGCCTTCCTCAGGAGCCCATCCCGTCCAGCATCTTCACATTACAGACAGACAGGGAAACCAAGGCCTGGAGAGGTGGCCACCTGCCAAAGTCAAGGAGCCAAGAAAGCCGGAGCACCAAGAGGATCCAAGCCCCGGGTTCTAGCTTGGATCAGCAATCCCCAGGCTGGTGCCCAGTTGGTGGAGGAAATGGTCCTTGGGCTAGGCACGCTGAAACCCCCTCCCGGAGGTCCTGCTGGCCCCACCAAGTGCTCTGCTAGCATCATCTCACACAGCCCATGTTCTCTCTTTGAGATGGACCCATATACTTTCTCCATTGTCTGCCAACCCACTGATCCATCCATCCATCCATCCATCCTTCCATCCATCCATCCATCCGTCCATACGGGCATCCATCATCCATCCATCCAGGCATCCATCATCCATCCAACGTGAGCCCTTCCTTGAAGCCTGGCCTTATCCTCAGCATCCCTTTGGAACACACACACACACACACACACACACATTTATCCTGTGTTCTTTCGTGCCCCAGTCTCCACATCTGTCCATCCCTCCACCATCCATGCATTCGCCCTTCTGTGCCCTCACACGTTCGTCCATCACCTGTCAATCTACCCGTCCACCCCTCTATCTGCCCACATTGTCACCCACCCATCCATTCATGTGCCCACCCATCAACCCTCCCTCAGACAATCCAGATATTGGTCAGTCCATTTATCCTTCCACACATCCCTCTGGCCGTCCGTCCATCCATCAGCTATTTAGTCATTGAACCAAGCTTAGTAAGCTTTGGCCAGACAGCCGGCTCTGCGGCTTTCCTCTACCCCCACTCTTCCACGGCCCACTTCCTTCTCTCCAGACGTCAAACTCTGCCCACCCCAGGAGCCTCTGTGACTTAGGCCATGGCCCATGGCCTTCAGGAGCTTACAGTTGCCAGTGTTCTGGGATCCCGACCTGGAAAGGCCTAGACCAGGTGAAACCGCCCCCTCCTTCCGTCCTGGTTGGCTGTGAAACTTGGTCTTGCTCCTACCGTTACTGATCTTCAGCATTCATGTGGCTGGGGAGACAGGGCCCCCAAGCTCCCCATCCTCCTACCAGCTTGGTCAAGGACAGCCGGCGTGGTGCCTCCAAGAGGAGGCAGGGGCCCCCGAACTCCAGGGCAGCAGTGAGCATGAGCAATGCCTGCTGCTTCCTGTCTGGCCCCAGCCTGCCCCTCCCAAGCTCCTAGGTGCCGGCTGCTGTCCTTGGCTGCAGGGCCTGATTAATTCTGGACCCCGGCGCTTTGAGATCACTGGATAAGAGGGAATTCCAGAGGGACAACTCAGCCTCATAAAACCTGAACTGGCTGTGTTTTGAATAATTGTAATGATATCTCAGGGCTTTTCCATCTCAAAGTGTTTCTCTCCTGTGATTTAGTGCCTGCAGCAATGTGCAGGGGGGTTAGGTCAGTTAAGAGACCACTGGACCACACGGCGCACGGTGTGAGCCGGGACTGAAATATCCCCTGGAAGCTCAGTCTCCTCCCGCTCGGCCAGGGGCGTCCCAACATCAGAATGAATCCTCTACAGGAGAACCCAGCACAGTACCCTGTGGGTTTGTTACAGGAGGCTGAGGCCAGTCAGGCAAGGGTGGTGGAATGGGGTCAGGTTCTCCCACCTGCCGCTGAGAAACCTCATCCCCTCGAGTGGTCCAGAGGCACCACAAACATGAAGCTCCATGGCAACCTCCGGCAAACTTCCTCCTCCGGCCACGCCCTGGCGGGCCCCTTCTAAGCCTTCAGCCACCTCTTTCATTTTCCCTGCTGTTCCGTCATGCTCCATTATTAAGTGTGAGATGCAAGCAAGGTAACTGAGCTAGTCTCTACAGGTAAGAAACGGCCACGGATGGCAGATGGGACCCACAGCGCAGTCAGGAGCCCATGTGGCCAAGCCTGGATGAGGGCCCAGCCCGCACCTGGGGCCAGCAGGTGGCGGCTTTGGGTCACCCCCGCTCCCCCATCCCCCCGCTCCTCAGGGTCCCAGAGCCCCTGGAGTCTGCGGACAAGGTTGACCCTGAGACACGTCCCAGGAGAGTCCCAGGGACACGGCCCTGCCCCGGAGAGAGGGCCCAGGCCCCTCATGGGGGATGCAGGGCTGGCTGTGTCTCTCTCAGAGGGCTTTCTCTTCAGTTCCAAGCTCAGGGCTGAGGCCCTCCCAGCCTCCATCCTGTCTCAGCTTTTCTCAAACCAGCCAAGGTGCCGGGTCTTAGATCTCCTTCTGCCTACCGGGCCTGGGGGCGTTGCTGGCACCGTTCTGGGGGCAGTCCCATGGCTCGGGCATGGCCTTGGTGTGAAGGGTAGGTAAGCCCTCCCCACCCACCCTGCGCACGGAGGCAGAGAGGAGCCAGTTCCCGAAGCAAACCAAGTCCACGACGGCTCCTCAGCATCGCCAGGGAGCGTCTGACCTGCTCAGTTCTGCCCTCTGGTTCAGCAGGACCTCCCTCCCCCTCAGCCTCTGCCTTCTTGTCCTGACCCATTTCCCCTGGCCCGAGGAGGACACTCTGCTCAACTGCCCTGACGGATCTCTGCCTCCAGCCTCTGCAAGAACCGTCCCCACCACCCGGAGCCCTTCCAGTCGCCTCCCCTCCACCCTCAGCCCCGGCTGAGGTCTCCACCCTTCAGGGCTCAGCCGCGCTCCTCCCGGAAGGCTGCTCTGACCCCGTGGCTGGGCCGGGCCTCTTCTCTGCCTGTCTCCTGCTAAGGCACTGCCCACCTTATAGTCTCACCATCTGGCTGTCCAGCAGTCTCTGCCCTCAGACTGGCAGCCCCAGAGGGACGGGATCGCATCAAGTCACTGACGGACCCGCAGCTCCCTGGCCTGGGGGGGCTCCAGGACCAGCTGCTGAGCCACTGATGCGTGATGCTGGCGAGACCCCAGGGCCCCCCGAGAGGGAACAGCGAGTGGCTGGGTTTGGGAACTTGTGCCCCGAAAGGCGTCCTGCTCTTCTTACCGCTGTCTTCCCTCCCTCTTCAACCCACTCCGTCCTGGGGGGTGGGAACCACGGAGGGGAAGGCACGCACAGGGCGCGAGGCAGTCTGCCTGGACCCCCGGGGGAGGGGCAAGGCCTCCGTGACAAGTCCCCACCTCCCAGGCCTGCCCCCCACCTCACCCCGCCCCTGCCCCAGCCTCCAGGGAAGATGAGCCGAGAGGCTGGAGGGAGATGCCTAGATGGTCACCAGCCATGTGGACGCACGAACTCTTAACCCCGCCTCCGAGCATCTCATTCCCTGCAAACCTGGAAACACCACAAGCCGGCAGGACCCGGGAAGCAGGCAGGTCCTGTTTTTGTGAATGGAGCTGTGGCCTGGGTCCTCGCCTCTGCCCAGGCCCGGCTGGACTCGCCTGACCACTCCCCAACCTCGCCAGAAACGCTGACAAAAAACCGGAACTTCAAAACCTAAGTGCGAGTCAGACCGAGGAGGAAAAGAGGGAAATTCTTCTTCAGCCTCACAAAGGCCTCACACTGAGACCTGCCCTGGGGTTAGAGTTCCAGGCCCGCCACCCGCAGGAGCCCCCCCGCCCCCCGCCCGCCCCGGGCTCAGCATCATCCACAGGTCACCTCGGCCTGGCCCCTGGCCGCAGCCTCAGGGAGGAGCCAGCCCACGCTCTTGACAGAGGCTGGCCAGGAACGCCCTGCAACCACTCAGCCTTGCATCTGTCCATTCTGTGAGGTCGTCCTGAACGCCTCCTACGGGCCAGGGCTTGCGCTGAGAACAAGACACGCCGTATCCCTGCCTTCGTGGGCCGAAGGGCGTGGGGGAGCCAGTGAACACACACAGACCAGGGTGGGAGCTGTCCCTCATGCTGGTAGAACTGCCGGAGCTCTGGGACAGGCCTGGCGGGGGCACCTCGGGAAAGAAGACAAGACCACAAACATCGGGGCCACGCATCCCAGGTGGCCAGAGGGGCTGCCCAAGAGGCAGCTCAAATGTCCTAGGACCTGCGATGGGAAGAAGGCAGGACCAAGAGAGTGGTCTGCAGAGTTCCGATAGCCTCTGAGCTTGGGCGGGGTTTCTGGCCAGGCAAGAAGCAAGGTCACTGAGGGCCCGGGGCTTCCCGCCCTGCAGACGGTCAGCTCTAGGGCGGGGTGGGGTGGCAATCACAAGCTCCTCTCCCCCGCAGGGCAGGAAACCCCCTCCATCCTGAGTGAGGGCGGATGGAGGCATGCTGCCTGCCAGAGATCCCCAAGCTCCTTCCTGACCTCCGACCGCCACTTCCCCTTCCTTGCCTGCCTGCCCCGAGGAATCAGCCCTGCCGCCCCTTTAAAGGGGCCTGATTCAGAGAATTAAGAATGAAACTGACTCACGATGGATGGACGGGTGGTCACTGGGCTGGCCGGGCGCCAGGGCTGCGGCGGCAGAGGAAGCCGAGCGACCGCAGCTGCCTGTGTGCGCTCTGCTGAGAAGGGCAGAAACCACAAAACCCCATTTGAAATTCCACCATGTGGCGTGGCTTGTGTAATGAGGTTACCCCTCATAAAGGGGGCATTCAGGGCCCACGCGGGCCTGTGGAGCTGGGGACTTGCCCCCCAGGGCCAGCTGATGATGATGTCATCTTCCGTTAGGGAGTCCTCCCCCACCTCCCCCAGTGAAGGACTTTAAAAAAAAATGCACCAGGAAACTAAAGTGAGAGCCAGAACGGAAGTCTTGGTTTTATTTATAGTTGATAACTTATGTCCGGCCTGCTCCACGGGAGGCCCGGCAGGGAGGATGAAAGTCTGAGGATGGGGCTGACACAAATATGACCCAAAGCCTAGGCTGATGTGGCCCCTGAGAGTCAGCCCAGAGCTCCAGGCTGAGCTCCCTAGCAAATGGAGCAAAGAGGGGAATGGGACACCGTAGCGTGACACTTGGGAAAACTGGGATCCGGGAAACCGGGCTCAGACCCCAGCTCTGCCGCACAGGAGCTGTAAGATCTCAGGAGCTTCTTCCTCACCTGGAAAGGGAGAGAAGAATGCAGAGCTGGTTTGGAGGGCCAGGCCAAGCACCCAGCACTACCTGGATGTGTATTAGAGGCTCTGTTGGCCTGGAGTCTACAGGTAGAAGCTCGGCCTCCCATGCTCCCGCGCCACCGTGCAAGGCAGACATCGCTAACAGAATGCAGCACACTTTCCCCGAGCCAGATTCTGCCTCCCAGGCCCCTCGCAATGCAGTTCTCCAGGGGAGTGAAGTTGCTCAATCGTGCCTGACTCTGCAATCCCATGGGCTGCAGCCCACCAGGCTCCTCCGTCCATGGAATTCTCCAGGCAAGAATACCGGAGTGGGTAGCCATTCTCTTCCCGACCCAGGGATCAAACCCAGGTTTCCTGCTTTGCAGCCAGAAGCTTTACCATCTAGTCACCAGGGAGGCCGCCACCAATGTGCCAGAATCAGCCTGGGGACCAACCTGCTTGTCATCCTGCCTGTAAGTAGCTGAGGAGAGGCCCAGGAAGGCCTGGGTCATTTCACTATTCCAAGCACCTGGCTGGTGCCTGCACAGAATGGATGCTCAATAAAAAATTTTCTAGTAAAGGGGGAGGGGGACTTCCCTGGTGGACCAGAGGTAAAGAATTCGCCTGCCGATGTAGGCGATGCAGGAGACCTGGGTTTGATCGCTGGGTGGGGAAGATCCCCCAGAGAAGGAAATGGCAACCCTCTCCAGTATTCCTGCCTGGAGACTCCCGTGGACGGAGGAGCCTGGAGGGCTACAATCCATGGGGTGGCAAAGAGTCGGATACAATGGAGTGACTTAGCAGGCAGAGAGCATCCTGCCCTGTGCTCAAGGGGGACGGCAGTGAACACGAGGACAGACGGGAGCGGGCCGGCCATCGGCAGGCCAGGCCCGTTGTCACCAAGGAGGCAGACACTGCCGAGTCAGGGAAGTACGCAGTGGGTGCCATCGCTGCTCGGAACGGTCAGCAAGGCCAGCGAGGAGGTAACCTGAAACTGAGGACCAAAGGCAAGGAAGAGGCTGCTCCGGGTGCAGGGAACGGAGTGTGCAAAGGCCCAGGTGGGGAGAGCGTGGGGTGGGGACAGTGTGAGCAGACCCGCGGCGGGCCAGCCCTTCAGGGCGCGTGGAGCTGACATCGGTGGACATCGTTCTGAATGCCCGGGACGTCTCTGAAGGCGGTGGTCACAGCATGACCCACTTAAATTACTACCTGGTTGCTCCTAAGCAGATCCTGACTCCAGGAGCCACACTGGGGCTCACCCACCCCCTGCAGGAGCCCCCCACCCACACGTCACCTCCTCAGGCTGGGCGCTCCCACCACCTCTATCAGGGAGAGGGCCAGCGACCATTCCACACCTGGGTTCCACGGGCTCCGGGTCCCGCCACATCTTTACTCACCAGCCCAGAGCCTGAAATGTGGAGAGACCTGCCCAGACCCCCGGGGCGGCCCAGCCCAGGAGCCCCTCCCACTGCCCTTGGAGAAAGGGATGAGCAGCCTCCTTAGCCAAGGTCCTCGGCCCCAGACCGGGGGTCTTTGGGACCCTCCTGCCCTCTGTTGGAAGCAATGACCAAGCAGAAGCCACTGGCCTGTCTTGGAGGGGGCAGCAGTCGGAGGCCTTGTGTCATATAACGGCCCAGCCTTGGCACTGCTCGGGCAGGCTGCCCTCTGCCCCCGCCAGCCAGCTCTCCACACTCCAGCCCAAGGGCTTTCCTTAAAACACAACAAACACTCCACTTTCCCCGCACAGGCCCACCAGGGCCCAGCCACCTCACTCCGGATAAAACCCAGACTCTCCACCAGGCTGGAAGGGCCACTTGATTGCCGCCAGCTGTCTGTCCTCTGGGGTGGGGGGTGGGGGTCCCTAGCCAGCGGATGGCCCAATAACTGCTCCACCAAAAGGTACAAGCCCAAGAGAGGCCCCAGTTCACTCTATCCAGGCGACACCCACCATCACCCCCAGATGTCCATGAGGTGGGGCCTGAGCTGAGCTGTGCCCTCCTCGCCCCCTGACCCCAGGAGACAGGGCCCCCGGTAAACAGCAGCAAGGTCCAGAAAGCAGCTTGTGGCTCAGAGGCTGGCGGAACTCTGATACAAGGTGCCCATTAGCTGAACAGGCTGTCTCTGAGATGGTGAGCTCCCTGGTCCTAGCGATAATGAAAGCTGGGACCCTCGACATGGGTATTGGGGGCTGATACAGCTGGTGGACTCAGCCGATCCAAAAGTGATGACACCAGCAGTGCCCTCCCTGTCCTCCCGCCGGAGGAGCAGAGGGTGGGAGACAGTCATGGGATCCGGTGCGAGAGAGCCCCAGCCACCGGCTGCAAGCCCAGCCCCAGCCCCAGCCCTGTCTCCCAAGTCACCTGCCCTCTCCCAGACTCACCTTCCTCCTCTGTAAGACAGCAGGGCACGTGGACGGGTCCGGCGCAGAGAGCGAGCAGAACCAAGACCTCAGAAGTGAGGTGGACGGGGCAGTCGGTGTGGGCGGGGCATCCGGGTGGGCGGGGCTTTCCTCCCACCACCTTTCCTTCCCCTGGGGTTAAGGTCAGGGTGGAGCGAGCGACACCCAACCCAAGACCTGCCCTGGGTGAGTCAGGGCACCCTGCTCGGCTTGGGTCACCCCGTGAAGGATCTACACAGCCACCTCCTTCAGGGAGGCTGGAGGCACCCAGGGGACCAGGGGATGGTGTAGCCAGCGTGCCCTTTACTCCTTCCTCCCTTCCTTCATTCACTTTCCATTTATTGATTCCTTTCACCATCCCCGTCCCGGGCAATAATAATGCAGATACAGAACAATCTGCAGCTCCTCCATTCCCAATGCCCCTCACCCACCCCAGGTCGCTTTCATGCTCACTAGCACCACCTACTGGAGGTCCAGGGCGGGCCCCCAGTGGTGTCCTGATGCGTTCCCACTTTAGAGAAGAGGGAACTGAGGCCAAAGAGGCCTGTCTGAGACCATCCAGCGAGGGAGAGGCAGAGGTGGCGTGAGACCTCTGGGGTCCTGCCAAGCAGCCCCTCTTTAAAGAGCCACTTCTGAGGAGGAGATGGAAAGAGCTGGGTACCAGGAGATGCCTCATCCCACTGCTGTCTGCTGTCAACACCCCAGCAACCCTAGATACTTCCAGCACCCTCACACTGACCCCAGACTGCGTCCCACCAGAGCCTAGTGTTGGCTAACAAAATGTTTTCCCTTGAGCCAGTGTCTGCTTCTGTGACCACTCCACCACCGCAGCCCTGCTGGGAGGTGATGAGTACTATAGAATTGTGACTCTTCCTGCAATACTCAGGGTGCAAGTCCACCTGTTAAACCAATGATGAGATGATATGGTGATGCTGATGATGCTGATAGTGATGGCAATGATAACACTGAAGATAATAGTGATGATGGTAATGATGATGGAGATGGTGATGAAGATAGCGATAATACTGGTGATGGTGGTGGGTGATAGTGATGACCATAATAACGATGATGGTGATGGTGGTGAGGATGGCATGAAGATGATAATGGAGAGAATAATTTTATGAAACACTCACTACCTGCCGATTGCATTCCCACACTAATTATTTAATCCTCATGACAACATTTTGAGCACGGTCCCCTACTTATCTCTATTTTACAAGAGGACAATGAGGCTGATTTCAGGGAGGTTCAGTCACATAACTAGTTAGCAGTCGAGGTGAGGCTCACACAGGCGGTTGTAGCAGAATCTGTTCACTGACCACTACCTACCCTACCTCTGTCATGAAACAACCTGCCACATGTGCCCCTCATACGATGCTCATTGTTCGCCACTGAAGGAAAACACTGTCCCCATCAATACCTTCTGGCCGCTCTTCCCCAGTAAGACACGAGGAGGAAGCTGAGGTTCCGATGGGGGGTGCACAGAGTGGTGGGTGCCTTTAGGGCACCACCAATGCCACCCCACTGCTGTGGACACATAACCACGTCACCTGCTGCCACTCTCCACCCAAGGTTCCTGCTCTAATGGGTCAGGCATGGCCCTGATATTCTTTCCCTCATAGCAACCGGCCAGTGGCAAGCCCAGGCTGCAACCACCAGCTGGGACAGGCTCTGGTCAGCACATGGTATGTCTCTCAAGGACCCCCATCTGGTAATCAGGCCCTTCTCTGGCCAACTTGCATGGAACAATGCCTAAAGTGTACTTGGATGCGTTGAGCCTGAAAACATGCTTTATCATCCATCCCATCCTGCTTGGAATGAAACAGAAAGCTGGGTCATTTTTAAAAACCATGATACAGCAGCCTTGTTCAATATACGGTCCACCAAAACCCTTGTCTGCTTGACTCATTTGGGTGTCTTGCTGCCCCGCCAGTGGCTCTCATTCCACTTTACAGATGGGCAAACTGAAGCCTGGAACAGTTAAGCTGCTTCCCTGAGGCTCTCATCATTGGGAAAAGTGAAAGCGAAAGTGCTAGTCGCTCAGTTGTGTCCTACTCTCCCCGTGACTATAGCCTGCCAGGCTCCTCCATCCATGGAATTCTCCAGACAAGACTACTGGAGTGAGTATCATTCCCTTGTCCAAGGAATCTTCCCGATCCAGGAATCAAACCTGTGTCTACTGAATTGGAGGCAGATTCTTTACCATCTGAGCCACAATGGAAGCCAAATCATTGGGGAGGGAGCCGTGATTCCAGCCCACCCAGGCCACCAGTCCACCTGCTGCTGCCGTGGGAGGGGGACCCACTCAGCCCAGCACCTGCCGCCTCCATGGAAACGAGCACCTGAGATGAAGGTGGTCAAATGCTGAGTGTGTTGCTTCATTGCGGTGGGCAGAATTCTAAGGTGGTCCCCATGATCCCCTAAACCTGGTACATGACCCTGTACTCCCTGCCACTGTGAATATGATAGATTCCACTCCTGTGACACGTGGTGTTACAATGCACAGCTTGTTCACTCTAAGAAAGGGACATCAGTTAGGTCAGGGGGTGCTGACCATAGGAGTCCTTTGGAAGCAGAGGATTTTCTTCAGCAAGAAAATGGGGACATCAGTCCTACAGCCTCAAGGAACTGATCTGGTGAATTCAATTCAACCTAAATGATGCAGAAGTGGATTCTTCCCGGAGCCTCCAGGAGGAATGCAGCCTGGCTGATAGTAGGCTAATATTAACAATAATTGAGCAGACTCTGGGAGATAGTGAAGGACAGAAAAGCCTGGCATGCTGCAGTCCATAGGGTCACAAAGAGTTGGACATGATTGAGTGACTGAACAACAACAGCAATAATTGTATTATGATTTCCATGCAGATGGAAGAGGTGCCCAGCCAAGTTCTGGGGCAGGAAAACAGACTTTGGCATCTCTGCCTCCCTGGTTAGAGCCCCAGGTGAAAATCTCACACCCAAGGAGCAACAAAGAGGCCAGTTTGTGCCTCCCCACCTCAAGTTCCTGGGGCAGACAGGAACCCTGACAGCCAGTAGAAAAGCCCACATACTCATGCCCTCAAGAACCTTTCAGAGGAGTTAAAAAAAAAAAAAAAGTATTTATCAAACACCCTGATAGCTCAGCTGGTAAAGAGTCTGCCTGCAATGTGGTTTGATCCCTGGGTTGGGAAGAAGGGTATGGAAACCCACTCCAGTATTCTTGCCTGGAGAATCCCATGGACAGAGGAGCCTGGCGGGCTACAGTCCACAGGGATCACAAAGAGTCGGGCATGACTTAGCGACTAAGCACAGCATAGCATTTATCAAACAGGGCTTCTCTGGTGGCTCAGTGGTAAAGAATTCACCCACAATGCAGGATACATGGGTTCGATCTTTGAGTTAGGAAAATCCCCTGGAGAAGGGACTAGCAACCCACTCCTGTATTTTTGCCTGGAGAATCCCACGGACAGAGCAGCCTGGAGGGCTACAGTCTATGGGGTTGCAAAGAGTCAGACACAACTGAACAACTAACACACACACACATTTATCAAGCAGTAAGAAAAAGTAAATCTTAAAAACCCACAAGGGCCTTTATTCTGTGTCCACAGACTCAGAACGAAACGGACACAGGTCCTCTGCTAGAAACACTAGGACCAAAATGATCCCAGTCGCTGCTCCCATGAGCCCTGGCAGAGGCAGACTCGGGAATGACAGCTGACACAAGGCACCAAGGGGAGATGCAACTGTCTTGTGCCACTTGGAGGGCAACCGCCTGCACCACACCGTGGGTTGGGCTGTGTTCTGGGCCCTGGAATCGAGCAGAGGGCAGAGACCCAGTGTATAGGCTATTTATCACGTGGTGTGATCCGTGCAGGAAATGGCAACCCACTCCAGTGTTCTTGCCTGGAGAATCCCAGGGATGGGGTTGCATAGAGTCGAACACGACTGAAGTGACTTAGCGGCAGTGATCCGTGCAAAGCCTGGGTCTACTGGGGAGGCTGTGGAGCTCGGAGACGGCAGGCAGAGACGGGCAGGAGGCTCTATCTGATCCCCATGGAGCCTGGAGAGGCTTTCCAGGCAGACCAGGTGAGGAAAAGCATAGTGGGCAGAAGGAACATCCCGGGCAAAGGTACAGAGGCTTATTGGGGAACCACACGCTGCTGGGCACAAGGAGGGCTGTCTCCTCTGGGAAGGAGCCCTGGGCCTCACTTCTGGAAGGGAATTCCTCGCTTCTATTCCTTCCAAGACTGACTCAGATGACTGATTAACCAAATGCACCACTTTCCCAGTAAGTTTTGCAAAGTGAGCCAGCCACCAAACAGGGCCCAAGAGAGACCCCAGAGGGGGAGAGCAGAGGCCAGAAATCTGGAGATGCTGAGCTCGGCAGGCAGAGGTTTGGCCCTCACCTGATGTCTGAGGCCATCAGGTGACCCTGGACAGTGGGTGAGGCCAATGCAGGTCCAAATCTCAGGACGTGTCACAAGGTACTCCAAGCCCTTGAGATAAAGTTCAGTGGCCAAAGCCAGGAGTATTCAGGAGTATTTATGATTTTTCCTCAAAAGCTACTTCAATTTAGATCTTAGAGCAGGGCCAGCACTTGCAAAGCATGCATGCTATCCCTCTCCATTATTGCTCAGAGCAGACAAAACTAATCAGTGGTAGAATTCTCAATCCAGTTACTCAAGCAACCGATCCTTGCAGGTATTTGGGGTTTGAGCCATTGTTCTCAATGAGATGGAGACCTAGCTTTGTCATGAAGCCCACTAGGGTCTGACTCTCCACGCTCTGGCCACTTTTGGCCAAGACAACTGGAAGATTATAGAAACCAGTATAACAGGAGTCACTGCAGATGGTGACTGCAACCATGAAATCAGAAGATGCTTGCTCCTTGGAAGGAAAGCTATGACAAGCCTAGACAGTATATTAAAAAGCAAGGACATCACTTTTCAACAAAGATCTGTATAGTCAAGGCTGTGGTTTTTCCAGTAGTCATCAACAGATGTGAGAACGGGGTCATAAAAAAGGCTGAGCATCAAAGAACCAATGCTTTTGAATAGTGGTACTGGACTCTTGAGAGTCCCTTGGACAGCAAGGAGATCAAACCAATCTTGAGTCAATCCTAAAGAAAATCAACCCTGAATATTCATTGGAAGGACTGATGCTGTAGCTGAAGCTCCAATACTTTGGCCACCTGATGCGAAGAGCTGACTCCTTGGAAAGGATCCTGATGCTGGGAAAGGTCGAAGGCAAAAAGAGAAGAGGGCAGCAGAGGATGGGATGGTTGGATGGCATCACCGATTCAATGGACATGAATTTGAGCAAAGTCCAGAAGATAATGGAGGACGGGAGGCCTGGTGAGCTGCAGTCCATGGGGTTACAAAGAGTCAGACCTGACTTAGCCCCGGAACAGCAGCAACAACATAACGGCAGAATGAGACAGCCCTCTTTCTCCCCGCCCCTTCCTCTCTCCCACTCACACAGGAACATAGGCAGAGCAAGGTCACATGCACCACAAATCACGTGAAGCAGAGTGAAATGTGAGCCACGTGGCGGAAGGCACCTGTTAGGCCTGTCTCAGGCTCTGTCCCAGCATCTAGGACAGTTCCTGGTACACAGAAGGCCTCTTGAGTGAAGGGACCCCTGTGCCTCCAAGCTGTCTTCAGACCAGCCCTGGCTTCCCCACCACGCTCTCCTGGCTGCCTCAGCGTCTCAGCGCCCTTGTCCCAGTGCCGTGATGCTCATCTCTTCCCCCAGGAAGCGGTGTTGGCCAAGGGACAGCCTTCTCATCAAATGATTGATGAATTAGGGTCTGGAGAAGTCTTCCTGGGACCTTTAAATTACCGTTGAGATGAAGTTCTAGATAAATGCCGAGTGAGTGATGGGGGTGGGAAAACCAGGCTTTCCGAGGGGTCTCTGCCTCCCCCGGCCACATCCCTGCTCCTTCCTCAGGGAAATTAATTGGTATCAAGAAAGGATTTTCAGAAATGGCCGTGTTTTAAAGGCCCCTGCTTAATGTTCCCTTTAATTAGAATGGGTTTCACTTGACGTTCCTGCTGACCCGCAGCGGGAGGGCGGCCCCTCCCGAGTGAGTGCCCACTGACCCTGGAATTCCTGCATCTCAGTTATGCCCTGTTCGTGGGCCGGCTTAGCCGAGTTCAAAAGAATGGCTTTTTCTGCAGCAAAACAACAGCCAGAGTTCAGAGTCACTCTCCTCAGTTCGGGCACCTCTGTGGGAACCTGGATCCAGGACATTCCTCGGGAAAGAATGCACACACGGAGGACAGCTGGGTCCCCGCCAAGGCCAGTCACCCAACAGGCTCAGCCGGCAGAGCCAGAGCCCCGGGGAGGAGGGACTCGGCAGGGCTCGTGGACGGAGGCGTGGGCAGGGTGCCATGCACCTGCCCCGGGGTATCAGGCCGGGAGGGGGTCCTGTGAGCTCGCGATTGCAGCAAGGTGGGACCTGACGGGAAAGGTCAAGTGCAGGGAGCCCAGGGGAGCGATGAACTCTGGGCAGTTCTGTCTGGGCACGCAAGGCTGGGCCGCCATCACGCCCCAGGCCTGTTCGGTATTCCTGTCGTGGTCCAGTGAGGGTCTTTGTGATAGGTCTTCTCTAGCAGGGGTGCAGGACGGAAGGGCTTGGGTGAGGGGCCATGTAGACCGGAGGAGCTGAGGCAAAGGTTCTGGCCTTGAGCCCTGGGTAGATCGGGGTGGTCTTGCCGAGCAGGAAATGTAAGGACAGGAGCAGGGTGCGGGGGCCAGAGCCCTGGGGACATGCCAGTGTGCGGTGCCATGAGCCACCCCAGTGAGGACGCTGGTAGAGGACTGGATGCGCAGAGCTCGGGGGAGGGAGCTGACCCAAGTTTGGAAGAGGCACATTTAAAAAGCTCCCTCATTCTGGAAAGACGACTTGGCCAGTTCACCACATCTAAGTCGTGGGAATGGGAGAAAAGGGATCACCAAGCCACTTTACGGGGCAGGGGGAGGGCCTCCCCATTTTACAGACAAAGTCACCGAGGCCCAGAGAGAACACAGCCAGGAGGCTACGGAGCACACCCCCAGCCTCAATGTGTTCCATCCACACCCCTGTCCCCTGCAATGGTGGGAACCATTAACATCCCCGTTTTACAGATGGAGAAACTGAGGCTCAGGGCAGTTTAGTGAGGTCCCCAGGGTCACCTAAGAAGCCAGCAGCTGAGCTGAGATTTAATGCAGGCCATCCAAGGTCACAGCTCGTGTTCTCACTACACGAAGTCTGCTCTCCCGATTCTTTGCCGTCTCATCCAGGTTCGGATGGAATTCCAGAGCCTTTAGCCCCCACCCAGAGAAGTTTATCAGCCTGCATCTGAAATTACACCTTGCTCAAAGCAAATTTGGGTCTAATTTCTCCCCTGCTGTCATTTTTAGTGGCATTCCTGGGCATAAGACATCTCCACTCAGCCCTGGGGTCTTATCAATGGAATTATTGAGTCTGGAATGTGGGACCTACCAGCTTTATCTCAGAAGACAGGTGGTAATTAAAGTATCCTGTGCTGCCATGTTGAAACTACAGACTGGCCACCAAGCCCAACCCCCGGATGAGTGGCCATCGGGTCAGGCCAGGGTCAGGCAAAGGAGCATCACCATTTCAGACCTCAGGGGTAGAATCAGGAAGCTTCTACGCTTCCTGCATACCCAACAGCACAGTCATCACCTCGGACCCCAGCTGCCCCCTGAGTCACCATCCCCATTCCATGGAGGAGGAAACGGAGGCTCAGAGAGGGCAAGCCGCCTGCAAGAGGCAGAACCGGGACACAGACCCAGGCGTTTGGACCTCCGTCATTTCTTCCATAAATACGTCTTGAGTCAGGCTGGTTCAGGGCCAAGTTCCAAGATACGGGCTGGGAACAAGCAGATAAGTAAGACTTCATGCCTGACCCTGACGGTCTCATGGTTAGGGGGGAAAGGAACACGGATGGAGAAACCATTCACTGTGGAGTATTACTCAGCCTCCAAGAGGAAGGACACATTCTGATACATTCTCCAACGTGGGTGGACTCGGAGGGCACCGTATGCCGTGAAACCTGCGTCCACGTACATGTGGTCCCTTGAGGAGTCAGGGTCCCAGAGACAGCGGGTAGGACGGTAGTGCCAGGGGCTGGGGGAAGGGGTGAGGACTTGCTGTTTAATGGGGACAGAGTGTCTGTTTAGAAAGAGGAAAAAGTTCTGAAGACCAGCTGCTCAACAGTGTGAACGTACTTACACACTACTGAACTGAACGCGAAAGTGATTAACAGGGTAAAATTTTTGTTACTTTTATTTGATCACCATTAAAATATTTTAATTACAAAAAACATTTCGGGGACTTCCCTGGTAGTCCAGTGGCTAAGACTGCACTCCCAAAGCAAGGGGCCTGGGTTTGATTCCTGGTCAAGGAACTGGATCCCACATGCCGCAACTAAGGGTTCGCAAGCCTCAACAAAGATCAAAGGTCCCGCATGCCACAACTAAAACCCAGCCTAGCCAAATAAATAAACAATTTTAAAGATTAAAAAAATAAAAGGAAACATTTATTCACTCATTGGTTCTGCAGCAGTGATCGCAGCAGAGCCTCCTTCAGTCCTGTGCCAGGCACTGGGCCAGGGGATTGTGTGTGTATGTGAGTGTGAGTGCATGTGTGCGTGTGTGTGTGTGTGTGTGTGTGTGTGTGTGTGGCAGGGCATAAAAGGGATATAAGAAGGTGGTCCTGCTCACAGGTGCTGACACCCCAGGCAGGGAGGACAGAGCCCCACACAGGCAACAGTCACAGCATCTCCATGGCCCCTGGGGATGCTGGGCACAGTGGAGGCTGTATCCCATTTGGTTCTTAGCACATTCCCCTAAGGGGGTTATGGTTAAACTTGTATTGTAAAGGAGGGAAACAGGTGACTCAATTCATAAGGAGAAGCACACAGTTCAAAGCTCATGTGTTAGTTATCTCTTGCTGTGTAACAAATTAGCCCAAAACGAGGAAACACCAAATTATTATTACCTCCCACCGTTTCTATGGGTCAAGGACCTGGGAGCCGCTAAACTGGGAGGTTCTGGGTCAGAATCTCTTAGGAGACAGGTGGCAAGATAGCAGCCAGGGCTACAGTTATCCGAAGGCTTGAGTGGGGCTGGAGGATTCACCTCCAGGACGGCTTCTTTACCTGGCTGTTGGCATGAGGAATAGGGACCTTGCCACCTGGGCCTCTCCATGGGGATGCTTGAGTGTCCTCCCAATGTCACGCATGGTTTACCCCGGAGTGAGCAGTTGAAGAGATCAAGGCAGAAGCCATAATACCTTTTGTGACTTGGCCCTGGGGATCATGTTCCAGCTTCCCACTGCATCCTATTGGATACCAGGTGAGCCTTATTCAAGGTGGGGAGGGGGCTACCCAGGGGTGACTACCAACAGGCCCGCATCATCAGAGGCCGTCTCGAACTGGCTGCCCCCCCAGGCCAGTCTGACTCTCCCACCAGGCACCTGCGTTCTGTAAGACCAGCGGTCAGTGGTAAGGTGGCAGCTGGTGTCAGAGACAACGGGAGTGGGCTGATCTGGAGGAGGGGGTGTGCGGGGGGGGGCACCGTACCGATCGAGAGGGACCCGAACCACAGCGGCAGCTCTGGGCTTGTGTCTCAGCTGAGGGGAGACGGTCACACCCGGCTGTCATCACTTCAGGGGAAACACAACGGATGATCAGGCCCAGGAGGCACTGTTCTCAAACACACGGCCTGCTGGGCAAGGCCAAAGGGACTCAGGGAGAGAACGACCAGGAGAAGGGCAGCCCCTCCGGCTGTGGCCCTCGGAGCTGCACGGGAAAGTTGTGAGACCTCGAGTAAGTCTCCCAGATCCACTCGGACCCTCAGTCTCCGCCTCTAAAATGGGATAATTAGCCGTTTCTCCCAGGCAAGAGAGAGAATAAAGCCCCATGGGCCCAGGGGTCTGGCATGTACCGGAGCCTCAGGGTCAGCCTCACACAGACCAGACGCAGCAGCAGGCCTGCGGTTGACAGGGACCCACACACAGGGGTCCCCTTCCCGCCACCCCCGCCCGGTTCAGCCAGTGAGCCAGGACTCTTCCACCACAGATTAGCCAGAGTAGTGGCTCCCTCTGGGGTGTTCTGGGGAGAAAGGGCCAGCACGGCTGGTGGTTATTGGAATGTCCCATTGATGAGAAACAAGCTGGACAAATATTTCACTCCTCCTTTGTCACATTCCAGTGAGAAAATAACATGGGCTGCTGAACGCTCCTTCCCAGGACCGCGGACAAAGAACACGGACATTCCTTTATCTCCGCTGGAAGTTTTGTTTTCCTTTTATCAAAGAGGTGTTATCAGTGCTGCTTAAATATCAATAAAGAAGAAATGTGCAATTGAAAACAAGGCACGGCCAGCTATAAAAAGGAAGGCCTGGCCAAAGGAAAAATTGCAGAAAGACATGGTTTTTCACTAACTGGGCATTCGGGAATCACAGCAACCTCTCCTTCTAAAACCATCAATTGGACAGTCCAGCCTCCCTGTCAGTGACAGTTAATTATGGCAAAAACACAGATTACCTACTCTAGGTGTTTTGCTGTTACATTGCTCAGCAACAACATGCTGGCGTGAATCTTCACACCATGCAAGTTACCATGTCCAATGTCACGCAGACCCAAAGCCCAGGCTTCCCCAGTCCCACTCCTTTTGACCTCCCAGAAGAGGAAGGGCAGCTGTGACTGGCAGGGGACCTGTAAAGCCAGTGACTGAAAGTGTCTGAAAGTCGGTTCATTTGAACCAACCTGGTTTTGACCACATCACCCAGAATTCATGCCGGCCAGCTTTACTCCATGCTAACGGCTTCTGGCCTGGCTTGGGGGATTCGCAGGAGGGCATGGATGTGCAGGGTGGACAGAGAGACAACTCAGTGGGCAGGTGAAGGCTGCGTGGGCAGATGGGCAGTCAGTGGAGGATGCTGGCAGGTGAACGGCTGGGCCGGTGGAGGGATGACAGGATGGACACCTGCATGCGTGGCCGGCTGGCTGGTGGGTGACCTGATGAGGTGGCTGCTCACATTGGGCAGGTGATGGTAAGTGTGGGTCAGGAGGGA